GAGCAGTCCTGGCTGGCCTTGGGGGCTCTGCATTGAGGAGCCCTGGCTGGTCTTGGGATGCTCAGGTGCTCAGCCCCTCCTGAGGAGTCTTGGCTGGCCTTGGGGACCCTGCACTGAGGAGTCCTAGGCTGGCCTTGGGGGCTCTGCATTGAGGGGTCCTGGCTGGCCTTGGGGTGCTCAGCCCCTTTTGGGGACCCTGCATTGAGGGGTCTTGGCTGGCCTTGGGGTGCTCAGCCCTTCTTGGGGACCCTGCATTGAGGGGTCCTGGCTGGCCTTGGGGTGCTCAGCCCCTCACAAAGGCCTTGGGCTGAGGGGTCCCAGCTGGCCCCAGGCTGCTGAGTGCCCCATGGGGGTGCTGGGACACAGGTACCGACCTGGGGGTGCTGATCCCCCCACGCAGCCCTGGGGAGGCTGAGCTCCCCCTGCTCTGCCCTGTGTTATCCGTGTGGGATGGCTGAGGGGGTGGCACCGGTCACAGCTCCACACGGGGCTGTCCCCAGGCTGGCTGTGTGCCCTTGCCAACATCCACAGCGGGTCCCCATGGCTGAGCTGCTCCAGGGTGTCCCTGGTTGGATAAACCAGACAGGGATGTGGGGGTTTTTGGGTTAGAGGGCTTTAGGGATAAGCATTCCTCAGGTATCCTAAAACCAACACGTGTGGGGAAGGTAAAACCACACCAGTGTGAGCTTCACCTCTAAAGGTTTTCCCAGCTGGGTAAACTGGTTTTATCCTCCTGGTGGGCTCTGCTTTACAGGAGGACATGGGAATAATGGGCTTGGAGCTCCCTGATTTCTGCAGTGACCTCGAGCAAGTGCAGCATCACCACTCCCTGCAAGCCAGGCTGCAGCCAGTGGAGAGCTCATTAGTGCTTTGTAGGTAATTATTTCCAGGAAAAAAGGTGGCTGAGCTGCAGCTCTGCACTGCTGTGGGATGCTCTGCTCCTCACAGAATCACAGGGTGGGAGAAGTTGGAGGGTTGGAACCTCCCTGCAGATAATTCCTGTCTGTGACAGCAGGAGCTCTCTCCCTTCTTGGAAGCTGTCCCAAATCTGTGGGGGTGGCACCTTTATAACAAACCTGCTAAAAATAGGGGCTGGGATTATAATCCTAATCCAGGAGACCTTTCTCAAGGCTCCAGGGAAACCGTGCTTTAATCTTCTTTTCTTCTTCATAAGGTGGCTTTGCCTTCCCTGTAAAGCCTCTCTGCTAATCAGTTTTAATTTGTTTAACTCTTGTGATGTCTGTCCTTTGCTCCCCTGGTGAGGTAAAATCCAGGGTGAATTTAGCAGCACAAGCAGACCAGGAGCCATTCCTTGCCTTGGGGACACCCTCCTGTCACCACCTCTGCAGCCCAGAGGGGTTTGTGTGGCTCAGGAGATAATTAATATTGTTAATTAGTTGGGCTGTTCTCTTGCTGATCAACTCTGCAGTGCTTTTGGTGGGTTAGGCTGGATCCCAACCCATTTTTAGGAAACTCTCTGTGCTGGATATTTGCAGATTGGCTGCTCTGAAAATGCCAAAATCTGACAAAAGGGGGGAATAAAAAATTAAGCTTGTCCCTAAAATAAATACATTTTGTGACATTCCTGCTGCAGCCAGCTTGGAAATGTGATGCACCATTCCTGAAGCCAAACAGGAGAGAGAAAAAAGCCCCATATCCACCAGATCCGGGGGTTTGGGGGTTTCTTGTTGCTTTGGCTGTGGTGTTTGGGGAGCAGGGAATGAGGGCAGGGACATCCTGGGAGTTGTGGCTGCTCCATCCCAGGCCAGCCTGGGACAGTGGGAGGTGTCCCTGCCATGGCAGGGGTGGCACTGGATGAGCTTTGAGGTCCTTTCCAACCCCAACCATTCTGGAATTCTGTGAAATTCCCAGTTTGCCAGTGGGATTCCATGGCAGTGGAAATGCTTTTTGTTCCCTCTCAGTTTCCTTTGCAGATCTGCAGCAAGAGAAGGGATCCACAAGGGAGGCAGGAGGAAACACCTGCAAGTGTTCAGGTTTATTTTTAGCTGTTCTGAAAGCAGTGAGACGTGGTCACAACCCAGGTGTCTTTTCTCTTAGTTGGGAATATTTTGGGATGGAAAAGGGGGTGAGGTGGAGGAGGGGGTCCCAGTGTGGGAGTGGTTTGAG